GAGATGGGCGCGCGGAAGGCGATGCGGCGCGACCCGCAGAGCTTCGGGGCCGCGTGGCAGCGGGACCAGGAGCTGTGGCTGGGGGCGGCGAGGCGCAGCATGCGGCCCGGAGCCCGCGCGGCGGTCGTCATCGGCGACGGCGGAGGGATCGACACGCTCGACTCCACGCGGCGGGCGGCGGAGGCGGTGGGGATGCGGGTGGTGGCGTGCGCCTCCATCCGGTCCGACTTGCCGGTCGAGGAGCGGCTGCAGGGCAACCGGCGGACGGAGCACGCGCTGCTGCTCGAGGCGCCGTGAGAGGCGCCGCGTGTGAGTGAAACGGCATAACCTTGACGTATGCTGCTTTGGCCCTTGCTTGGCACAGCACACCCGCTCGTATGCGGCGTGTCGCGTACGTTCGCGTGTCGCGGCGTGTGCGGTCGACGCGTCGTCGCGGGTGGTCGTATAGGTAAAATGTCGTTTCCAGATTACCCAACACGGCGAAATGTCGTTTCCAGCTTACCCGGGGAGCGAAAATTCTTTTTCCAGATCACCCGGTATATAGTGGGATGCGCCGGGTAATCTGAAAGAGTTGTACGGATTCACGACTGCGTCATTCAAGCAAACGAGGCCGGGGATTCCGAGTGGGAGCTCTCCTTAGGACACATGCCGCAGGTGCTCGCTCTCTGTCTGGACGAGGTTCACGCTGAGTCCGGCCTTTGCGCCTAGCTAGCAAGGCAGCCGTCCGTGTCCGGGTAAGCTGAAACGAGATATTTTGCCCGCGAGCGGGTAATCTGAAAGAGAAAAGTATGTTAGCCTTTTACCATTTTGCCCCGGGCGGGCCCACTTTTGTCGTTTTGCCCCAACTCTACGCTTTTAGCGTTTTGACCCAAATCGGCCGAACTTTTAGGATACCCTCAGACTATGTTTCTCACATTTTGCACGTCTCTCCTCTCCTTCCTAGTGCTAGTCTCCTCTTCTAATAGTGATACGTACACCTGTCCCCGCGCTGTCCGTCGCGCGTGTCACACTGACCGTGTCGCGTGTGGCGTGAGGCGTCTCGGTGCCCAAGGGTGTTGTGTGTGAGAGGGAGTTTTGTTGTACAATTCTTTTGGCAATGCGAAAATTCTTACGCCAAAATTCTTCGCCAGTCCCGTGCCCAGTGTCGTGCGAGGGAGTGCGTTGTAAAATTCTTTGCCCATCGTGCATGATGTTTCCCCACATTGCCCATAAACGTTCGCGATTGACGTGTCCTCCGCTTTTCGCGCGCCTGGGCCAATCATCCTGCACACTCCTAATCCCGGTGGTGAACGGCATTGATTGCCCAGCGTGCATCCGCGAATCCGGGCGCCGCGTGAAGATGTCATTGCCTGCGAACGATGTGATGGTCAGGCTGTATGCCACTCGCT